TGGCAATAAACATGGCTACAGCTCATACCTCAGCCATGAGGCTGGAAAGCTAGGGAATGGGCTGGATCCAGCCGTCAAAGCCACAGCTTTAGTTCTACTGATATTGCTTAGTAAATTAAAGACTCATGTGGTCAGAAAAAGAGAGGTATACAGTAAAGAGAGATTCAAAGATAAAGAAAATTTCTAAATGGTTTACAGTGTGTTAAAAATATATGCAAGCTAAAAGTTAAAAGTTCTTAAAAGTAAAAAAAAAGGAAGAAAGAGGGTAGTTGGGTGTGGTAGAACACACCTTTAATCCCAACACTTGGGAGGCAGAGGGAGATTGACCTCTGTGACTTCAAGGTGTGGTAGCACATGCCTTTAATCCCAGTGCCTAGAAGGCAGAGACAAACAGACCTCTGTGAGTTCAAGGTGTAGTAGCATACACCTTTAATCCCAATGCCTGGGAGGCAGAGACAGGCAGATCTCTGAGAGTTCAAGGACAGCTTGGTCTACAGAGTTATTCCAGGTCAAAGATACAGAGAATATAAAATAAAAATAAACAAAATAGAGGTTAAAATAAAGTGCACAAAGATGGAAAATACACAGAGAATTTTGATACTGTATGCTATTATACTCTGTTTGGATTGTTTGAATTCTGAGGAAGGAGCAACAGCTGCCAAAAGATATTTGTTTATAAATGCTGCTGAATTAATCCAACATAGATATTTTGAAAATGCCTTGACTTTGAAATTTGGATCTAAGGACATGATGCTTTGGAAAGGAGTTTCTTACTTTGTTTTCACAGAGGATGAGACCCTGTTCATTTCTTCTATTCTGATATGGTATGATAGACCTCGCCCTCTGAAAGTTTGCAGTGAACACCTTCAGAAAACTTCACTCAATTGACGACTGAGATGAACATAGCACACAGGTTATACCCTGAAATATCTGATTAACAGCGCCCCCATTCAGCAGGAAGCAGTTTGGAGAGAAAAAACTGTGCCCATGTTCCCAGATATGGTTTATAAACGTTCTTTTACATTTAAAGGGGGGAATATGATATAGATATGAATAATTTGCATTAGTATAGATTTTGCTTTATTGATAGAGATTTAAGGTCAATTTTGCTATATGTATATGTATTTCTGATCTTGATTAAGGTATTGTGATTGTGTAGTTCACTTAAAAATGTAATGTATATAGGTTGTTAATAGATAATCGTAATAGTCAAGTTTGTAGTCATGTTAGTTAAGATTTTCTAGATGTGCATAGATATATTTTAGATAGGCATTCTTCATATTTTTCAAAGATTATAGAATATGGCATTTTAAATGTTTTAATAACTTAGGACTTTTCATGACAATGAGACACTCTGCTCCTGGCAGCACCAATCTACTTCAAGAGGAAGATGGGCATCGAAGAGGATCCTTATGGAGTTTGATAGCCATTTGGGCAAGAAACTGCTCTTGCCTGGACTATTGCATAAACTGGACACAGAGAACCCGCAGAGAGAGGACTGCTGAACTTGCCTAAAGGTGAGATGATCTTTCGGGGTTCCTGATTCATGAAAGAGTCTGCAAGACATTCTTCAGGACAAGCAGATAGTGACTGCCTTTGAAATTTCCTGCTTTGTGGAAATGTCTGCTGGATACTATGGGCCTGTAGGCCGAAGATGGATGCCCCAACGGTACAGAGGAACTTTGGGTGACTGTCCAGGCAGCGAGATGTCTCTGTCATTTCTAGAGTTTTTGATTTCTTGTTTGCTTAGGTAATAGTATATCTTTCTGGAGTCTTTGAAGGAGTTTAAGAATAGTTAGTTATAGTTATAGTTTTCCTTAGTTATGATAAAGATTATTGTAATTTTTACTTGATAACTGTTTTGTTATATGTAATTTTGCTATGTTAAAGTTAAAGCTTTCCTTTTTTGTTTAAACAGAAAAAGGGGAAATGATGGAGGAAGGTCATTGGTTAATTAAATAAAGAAACTGCTTGCCCTGATAGGTTAAAACATAGGTGGGAGAAGTAAACAGAACAAAATGCTGGGAGGAAGAGGAAGTGAGCTCAGACTCGACGGCTCTGCTCTCTGGAGCAGAGACGCTATGCTCCGCTCTCCTGGGCAGACTTGCGATGAAGCTCCGACCCAGGATGGACATAGGCTAGAATTTTCCCAGTAAGCGCACCTAGCAGTGCTACACAGATGATTAGAAATGGGCTAAATTAATATGTGAGAATTAGCCTAGAAGAGGCTAGATGAATACAGTTTGTGTGTTGTTATTTCGGGCATAAGCTAGCAGGCAGCCGCGGTGCTGGGGACGCAGCCCCGCCGCTCTTATTACGACAGGAAACATTGCCTTACTCTTTCCAGAACCCATATAAATGTAGTTTAGAAAACTCTACAAGCCTAGCTTAAAGCATATTCAATTCAAAATTCATTGATATTGATATTGGTACTAGTGTTACTACCAAGCATTTTTATTATATCTTAGAGAAAAGATCCTCAGTGTGGTATTTAAGTCTTTTTTTCAAATTACCTCACCTTTTCAGACCATGTTTTCAGACTAATGAAATATTTGCCTATAAATTTAAAACTGATTGTGTGTATATATATGTATATATATCAAAGTTATTTATAAAATCTTTGAATTGTGTGTGTGTGTGTGTGCGTGCATGTATGTCTGTTGAATGCCTGGGTGTGACACATGTGAGTGCACACATATGAGTGTGCACTTGTTCTTATGTGCCTATGTGGAAGGTCAGAAGTTCATCTCAGATGTCTCTCCATCTTGTTTTTTGAGAGAGAGTCTCTCACTGACCCAGAGTTGGTTGTTTAGATTAGACTAGCCCTCCCACCACCTGTGTGTCTCTGCCCCTCCTCAGCTCTAGGGTTGTAGACAAAGCACCATGTCTGACTTGTGCATGGGTACAGAGGATCAAGACTCTGTTTGCACAGCAAGGACTTTACCCATGGAACAATCTCTAGTCACATAGATGACTTTTAAGATGAAAACTTTGGAGTAAGATGGGAGATTGTCACATGATGCATGCATGGAGTATGGGTAGTAGGTGGGAGATTGTCACATGATGCCTGCATGGAGTGTTGGTAGTAGGTGGGAGATTGTCACATGATGCCTGCATGGAGTGTTGGTAGTAGTTAACCATCAAGGCTGGTTGAACTGACTTGGGGAGTGCTGTCAGCAGGAGAGCAGAGTAGGAGGCATCCCGAGCTTCCTTGTGGGGAGGGTAAGAGCACAAAAAGACTTCCTGAGGGTGAAGCTGGTCTCGGTCTCACAGTAGATGTTGATGCCTTTGACATCTGGAAAATGAGGTGAAATAGTCAGTGGTGACAGCACAGCCATGTTACCTTTGGTGTAAATGAAGACGTCCGCCAGAATGAGTCTCAGGGGAAGTGACTCACCTGTCCTGTACAGTTGACTCTCAAGGCCTCAGTTGAAGGAGGAGAAGCAAGGTGAGAGTGTGACTAGTAAGGGGCCTGTGGCAATGAGTTACACGAAAGGGACAGACAGACCAGCGCCAACCAATGCCAACAGCACTGCAGGAAGAAAGTTGAGAAGAATGAGAGTTGAGGTTTGAGAAAAGATTGCCCTTTTGTGGTTCGTGGTGGTTGAGTGTGTGTGTGGAGAGGGGTCAGAGGAGAGAAAGAAAATCCGAGGAGCAAAAGGAAATCCAGAGAAGAGGGATAGTGCCCGGGAGGTCACGGACTAGGAGAAAGGAGAGGTAGTCCACAAAACGCCCACATGAATAAGGTGTAGCCCCTAGAGCGCCATCTGGTGGGGGAGGCCAAACTCTTGAATGCAAACTTTGAAGTTTTGACACATTGTAATATGGAGAAAGGTGAAAGGGAAATGACATTACCCATGAAAGAGGCTGATAAAGAAAATGGTGATAGTGTGTGCTTAACTGATTGAAGTCCTGAGATGAACGGGAGTTACTGAGGTAAGGAGTTGAAGTGCAGAGACCAGCTCAGGAAAGGAGTAGCCGCTTCTGGGAGGATAGCAGGAGAGACAGGCTGCAACCAAGAGGAAGGAGCAGGATGCTGTGGGCCAAGGGGCCTCATTTAATTCTGTCTCTAATAAAAGTGTTTCAAGGGCCTACAATAAATTCCTAAGATCTGCGGGAAATATCATGACACACGGTGATGCTCCTAGTATACTGGGTGGAAGACAACAGGACGGGAAGGAACTTGAAACTGAGGACACAAGCTAATGGGTTTCTTAGCATCTCCACATCACAGTCTTCAGAAAGCGGGAATGCTGGCAGGGCCAGCTCCACGGAGCAGCTATGAGCTGGAAGGATATGAAACTTTTACAACAGCGGTCACAGCCGATTTAGGTCAAGATGATAATTCCTAAAGAGAGCTGCAGGAGAGGAGAAGAGTATTCCATTGAGAAAGAAGGAAGATGGGGTTAGGAAGGGGTAGAAGAGAAGAGTGAAGAAGGGTTTGGGGGGGTGAGAGTGGGAGAGGAAAGAAACAGTAACAACGCAAAGTAAAAACTAGGGGAGACCTCAAGACAGATACAAAACAATGTGGTTAGTTTAGAAACCATTTTCAGAATCTCATGCTCTGCACCTCTCCTTTCCCAGGACTGTGGCAGAAATGCTTGACCTGATGGGGAATAGCCTGAGAATGAGATAGCGTCTCCTTCTCCTGGACTGCCTCCGTGTTCTCACTTTCTTCCTATATAGAAGAGATGAAGTGATCTATCATGCGCTTCGACTTCCATCTGGACACCAACACACTCTGACCCTCTCTCTGCTATACAACCACGGAGAAACTCTGGCCTGATTGAGCTCCACCACTTGCTTTTCTCAGACATTTGGACAGCTCTTACTCATAGCTCTGCATCCTGCATTGGTCTGTGGAAAACCAGGTGTACAAAACATCTTCGTGACCATCAAATCAAACAATGTTAGTTAAGGAAACTCATAACCCGTATTTACTTTTTTCTTTTCTTTTCCTTTTTCTTTTCTTTCTTTTTTTTTTCAAGGCAGGGTTTCTCTGTAGTTTTGGAGCCTGTCCTGGGACTAGTTCTTGTAGACCAAGCTGGTTTTGAACTCACAGAGCTCCACCTGCCTCTGCTTCCCAAGTGCTGGGATTAAAGACATGCACCACTACTGTCCATCTTACCTTTTTCTTAACAAGCTCTTCAAATTCTAATTCCCTAGATTTTAATTTTAATTGTTTGATTCATTTTAGTCACTCTTTTCCTTCTAATCCAATTATCCCCGTTTCCTTGGCTTTAGTGTTTATTTCCTGAACCATTATAGTGAGTGGAGAGACATTTGTAAAATCTCCAAGCTGGGGGGCTGGAAAGATGGCTCAGCGGTTAAGAGCATTGCTTGCTCTTCCATAGGTCCTGAGTTCAATTCCCGGCAACCACATGGTGGTTCACAACCATCTGTAATGAGGTCTGGTGCCCTCTTCTGGCCCGCATACATGCAGACAAAATATTGTATAAACAATAAGTAAATAAATAAATATTTTTTTTAAAAAAGATCTCCAAGCTGGAGAACTGGTCACAATGAGCTAGCTATTCTGGTAGGCGGTAGGCAGCATGTGGGGTCAGAGCAGATGGGCAACTGCAGATCCCACCTTAGGCTCTCACCCACAACCATCTCTATTTCTCACTCTGTGAACTATGCACACTGACTTTGAACATAAATTTCTTTGTTTCATCCCAATCTTACATAGATGGATCATGCAATAGGCATCCTTTTGATTAGAAAATCCTGAAATCAGCTTTAGGACATTGGTTCCATATAAAGCACTCATCTTCCTGCTTGGTGACTTCTGTTGTACAGACTTCTAACAGGGTCCTCTCCACTGTCAGTGGGAGTTTGCTGTTTGCAGAGCGTGCTCATCAGAAACAGTATTACCAGCACTCACTGTCTAGGCATGAGCATTTTCTGCAACTGTATGATTGGATCATACATAGCACACACCCATGTTAAGTTCTAGAAACACTGTCACAGAGATGTCTAGACTGACTGCATCACTTTCCCTGGGTGGGGTCGAGAATCACTCATGATCTGCTTCCCAGTCACACCTTCATCAGCACTGTACTGGCAGAGCGCAAAGGGCCAGCTTCTGAATGGCTGAGAAATTGAGTGCTTCCTTTCAGTTTCCCGGGGCCTTTACTAAACATCTTAAACTTTATTCTTGCAGAGTTTGTTTTACTCACTTCCCCGAGGACAACATTCTGCTGCACCAGCAATCCCGTAGACAACAAGAAGAACAGGGCAGAGGTTGCGACCCCTCAGAGGCTGGAGTGAGCTGACGCCCGCCTGGAGCGCTGGCTCTTAGTGTGTCAGCACGCCTAAAGGAGGCTGCTCCTGGCACAGTCTCAGAAGCCAACTGGAGTTTTGCTGCAGCACATCCACAGTAATTCATTGTTTAAAAGAATCTTGCCCCCTCAATCCTGTGTGTATATTAGAGTTTGGTGTTCAGATTGAAGCTATGAAGTCTAAGTCCAGCTGTGCTCAGAATCCGAGCTGCAGCATAATGATATTTCGTCCCAGCAAAGAAGAGTTTAATGATTTTGACAAATACATCGCTTACATGGAGTCCCAAGGGGCACATCGAGCTGGACTGGCCAAAGTCATTCCGCCCAAAGAATGGAGAGCCCGGCAGTCCTATGAGGACGTCAGTGACATGGTAATAGGCACTCCCCTGCAGCAAGTGGTGTCTGGCCAGGCAGGTGTGTTCACTCAATATCACAAGAAGAGGAAAGCCATGACAGTGGGGCAGTACCGTGACTTGGCCAACAGCAAAAAATACCGTACCCCGCTACACCTGAATTTTGAAGATTTGGAGAGAAAATACTGGAAGAATCGGTACTTTGGGGCGCCAATTTACGGTGCAGATGTCAGCGGCTCCCTGTTTGATGGGAAAACTCAAAACTGGAACGTGGGACACCTGGGAACAATTCAGGACCTGTTAGAACAAGAATGCGGCATTGTGATTGAGGGCGTCAACACGCCCTACCTGTACTTTGGCATGTGGAAGACCACCTTCGCGTGGCATACGGAGGACATGGACCTGTACAGCATCAACTACCTGCACTTTGGGCAGCCCAAGACATGGTACGCGGTGCCCCCCGAGCATGGCCGGCGCCTGGAGCAGCTGGCCAGACAGCTGTTCCCGGGCAGCTCCCAGGGCTGCCAGGCCTTCATGAGGCACAAGGTGGCACTCATCTCCCCCACAGTGCTCAAGGAGAATGGCATCCCCTTTGCACGCATGACCCAGGAGGCTGGGGAATTCATGGTCACCTTTCCCTATGGCTATCACGCTGGCTTCAATCACGGCTTCAACTGCGCAGAGGCCATCAATTTCGCCACCCCGAGGTGGATCGACTATGGGAAGGTGGCGACTCAGTGCAGCTGTGGGGAGGCCAGGGTGAGCTTCTCCATGGATGTCTTTGTGCGGATCCTGCAGCCTGAGCGATATGAGCTGTGGAAACGTGGCCAAGATCAGGCAGTTGTGGACCATACAGAGACTGGTTCTGCCAGTCAGGAGCTCACCACCAGGCGGGTGACCAAAGCACCAAGAAAACCTCAGGGACAGAGGCGCCTCCAGCTTCACCAGGTCTCACACTCTCTTCTGCCTAGAGCCACTGGCAGTAAGATTGCTTGCAGCTACAGGCAACAGTCAGATGCTGCAGTTGGTGAGGTCCAGAAGCCTGATCGAGCCCCTGTCCCACCACCTACCCTGGGTCCATCTTCTTCTCGTCACTACAAGTCAACTGGAAGACGTGGTCTTGGTCGACGCCATTGCGAACTAGGAGTGCAGGAGTCCACCAATGAGGCTCCAGTCAAGAGGCGCCAGCCAGCAGGCAGCGCAGACACAGAGCTTCTGACACAGTCTAAGAACTGAGTTTTGATAGCCTGACCTGTACCTGTGAGGTCAGCCACACTGCATCCTGTGACAGCTTCTGAGGTGCATTGATCTCTGACCCCTAAACGGATGGTCCTGCCTTACAGCTTACTGCCCCGCACTCAGGAAGCTGTCTAAGACCAAACGCCTCAGAGTTCTGATAGAGTTGGTAGGACAGTGGCCACGCTGGAGAGAGCTGCTTGTGCACCTTCCTCTTTCCAGAACGTGCAAGCCTCTGGATACTGGTAACTCCCCGGCTTCCAGTGAGGTTTCATTGGCCAGTCACTTCCTGTTTCTGAGAGCTAAGTGCAGCTCAGGCTGCTCAACAATGACCTCCTGTCCTCTGGGCCAAGTGTAGAGGAAGCTGAAAATTCAAGTTTCTCTCCCTCTCTTCCATTTCTTGAAAATGTCATTTTACCACTAGATTTGTTTCTCTCTCTCTCTCTCTCTCTCTCTCTCTCTCTCTCTCTCTCTCTCTCTCTCTCTCTCTCTCTTTCTCATACACACACACACACACACACACACACACACACACACACACACACACACCGGCCAATTGAGAGTCACAGATGACTTCTCAAAGTTGGTGTATAAAGAATGTATCTTACCTAGTGTTCACAAATAAAGGCAAAGCAGCCAAATTGTTGAAATTAGACTTGATTTTTAACATTGTAGTTTCAGGCAGTGGGATCTTTGGGAAGAGGACACTTTCTCTGTTTCCAGACAGCCATAATCATGTCTAGTCTGAAAGAATAAGTCATTCCGCAGCTCACATGTTCTGTGTGTTTCTCACATAGCACACTTCCCATTTGCACCCAAGCCTATCCACATATTCATGTACTCGTATGTTCAGTGTGTGTTATGTGTCTGGGCGTGTGTGAGCCAGAGTGAAAGTGTGGATGTCAGAAGATAGTTGTTGGTGTTGGTTCTCCCCATGTCCCACGTGGCTCTTAGGGATTCCACTCAGTTGAAAAAATCTTGGTGGAAAGCATCCTTGCCCACTTAACCATCTCATTGGTCCAGTGACATCTCATTTCATTGTGAGGCAAATTCACATGGATGTCATGAGACACCAACATGTGCTCTGCTTCTTTCTCCTAGGCCTGAGCACAAATGAGCTTCGATCTATTCCCAGAAGAACAATCTCCAAGCCAGTGTTTCTCAACTTCGGGGGTCAGATGACCCTTTCAGAGGGGTCACATATCAAATATTTACAATCTGAATCATAACAGTAGCATTCGTTACAGTTATGAAGTAGCAAAGAAAATGGTTTTATGACTGGGGGTTCCCACAACCTGGGGAAGTGTACTAAAGGGTCATGGCATGAGGAAGGTTGAAACCACTGGTTAAGGTCCATGTCGGGCTCTGGCCCTCACTGGTTCTGCAGACAGAAAAAGGTGCTCACACCCTGTCCTCTACATTTGGTCTTCAGAAGGCTCCTGGTGCTGTGCAGCCTTCCAGGGTGATGTGGTCCAGGTTTGTCCTCATTCACATGTCTGATATGAACATCTGTGGCAGTCAACAAGATGGACTAGCAGGTAAGAGCAGCTGCTCACAAGTCTGAAAAATTCCACTATCAGTCCTCAGAAACACTGGTGGAGGGAGAAGTGACTTCCCAAACTGGGACCCACAGGAAACACACAACTACACATGCCCCCATACCTACATACACAGACACACCGACACACACACCTACACATAGACACACCTACACACAGACACACACACAGACACACCTACACACACAGACACACTTACACATACACACAGACACACCTACACATACAGACACACACAGACACACACAGATACACATACAC